AGAGAGAGAGAGAGAGAGAGAGAGAGAGAGAGAGAGAGAGAGAGAGAGAGAGAGAGAGAGAGAGAGAGAGAGGTGCAACGACCCACACAGACTGAGAGGCGTGCATTGTCTGAAAAATGTTGCTGTCTTTGATCTGTTTCCTGGGATTTTCAAGTCTGAGTCTATTTTGCTGTGTTTTCTGAGTGTGTGTGACCTGGCGATTCTGTATTTGCACCGTGTGCCTGCTCAGTTTCTCGTTTCTCTGTTGTCCATGTGTGCCTTGGACAGCGGCAGAGTAGCAGAGGTGTAGCTACATGGACAGACCCAAATTTTGGGCTACGGAGGACTTGCCAGACGTCCTACAGGACTAGGAGTAGATGGAGGGACCCGGTCTGACAGGCTTCAGAGACAGTCCAGTTGCTTTCTAAAGGTCATGATGTTCCACGGCCTGTAGGTGAATAGATATCCGGGTAGACTCAGGCCCTGGAGGTAGATTAAAGACCGCAATGATGTTCCCTCACCAAAGGCAGGAGCTTTCTGGTAGGCATAGTCCACCAGTAGAAACGGAGAAAGTGTGCCGGGTAGAATACCCGAGGCCATGAGTCATGAATGTATCATTTAGTGCAATCGGTAGGCCGGACATTGACCCCTCAGCCATGCTGCTGCTCCACCAAGAGGGTGAAGAGGCGGAGCTGCTGGGGAACAATGTGGAGGTTGAGGGTGACGGGAGAAGGCTCCATGGTATGGCAAAGATGCGGAAGAGTGCCTTGCTATGGAGGTAGTAGTAGTAGAAGCCCATTCCTGGCTATGAAGCGAGGGGGAGAGCAGTAGGTGGGAGGAGGAAGAAACCCATTATGGGCCAGGGAGTTAGGAGGAAGAAAAAATATTCATTGTTGTTATACTTCCCTTACTCTTCTTTAAGGCTTAAGCAAATATCGGGTCTCGCGTAACGCCCCCTCGAGACCCGGCTGCCAGTCTTGGGAAAGCGGTAATGCCACGGCGAATTTGTGCGGCGCATGTTCGAATACAAGTACATACTGCAGCGGCATGTAGATTCGTTGGTTCTGTCTAGTTCAGTTTAAGGTTTAGGGTTTAGGGTCTGGTTTAAGTTACTCAGGAAGTTGGCACTCTGGGTCATTTTGAAATGCAGATGCACACAGACAATCAAGGGGACAGAAGTATCGGAAGAGAGGAAATGTGGACTCTACTACTAGGGATGGTGGAAACTGAAAACCGGATCAGTTGGCGAAAGGTGGTTGCTTCAACAATCCACAGGCCAGAAAAACACGCAATCAAGAGACAGACATTCTGGAGGGACTGGGAGGGACTGGTTAATACGGGGCAAGATTGCCACCATTACTGAAAACAGGCTGGTTTGGAAGAAGTGGTATCAGTCAATGCCGCCATCATGGGTGCCACCAAGAAGAATACGACAGCGGAACAACAGGATTGATGACGGAACTTTCCACGGTTCTCACTCAGTCAAGCTGCATCAGACAGGACCCGAAACGGGGCCTGAAAGGAAGAGTAGGCAAGGGCAAGCTGCCAGTCAATCCTTCTCAGAGGAGCAATCAATGCTGGTCGGGGATCCTTGGGCCTAAGGGAAGGATGCGTGAGGGTGTTCACCATGTATTTCATTCTTGACTTGCCGGGGGAATAGGACCCGGGCTGATGCTCCCCAGAATGGATAAGGAGCCAGGACTATAAGGACATGTTTATACAAGAGAGAGAGAGAGAGAGAGAGAGAGAGAGAGAGAGAGAGAGAGAGAGAGAGAGAGAGAGAGAGAGAGAGAGAGAGAGAGAGTCCATACCCATTTATAAAGATAGCAAGTGTGAACATGAAGTAGGTTACATGATCAAATTGTAGTAAACTGTCAGTGTGTGATCATGGGAGTGACAAATTTTACACATGCCACAAGCGGAATGTGTTTTGGAGGGAAACAGTCGTTTGCTATAGCTTTGTGTGTAGTCTTTCAGTTATGGGACAGAGTTGGGAGGGGGCATAGCGGATCTGTACTGCCCCATGTCGCTTGCTGTAGAGGTAAAACTCTTTCATTGTTGGATTGGCTCCTCTCAAGTGTGCTTCACTGTCTTCTTATTTTTCGACTTGCCCAGGTTTCCAGAGCGATGCTTCTTCTGCAGGGGGCCTGCGTGCCCAAGCGGGCAGGTGACCAAGCTTTCAAGGGCTTTTAGTTTTCATCCCAGTTTGACTCTGCAGTGTGCTGATCCTATGGCAATGGCAATGCCTTTTGCTTTTTTTTTCTGCAGGTCTCTTCGATCAAGCCATTCACACGACTCAGAGGGCAGACACTGCACTTGTTCTGAAGGCCCTTCACCCACAGGTATGGGCAATGAAGCTGAATGAGCTTTTTTTTCTTTTTTTTGAGCTTCATTTGTTTGTTTTAAACCACCAGTTCCCTGGCATGCTGGCTGCCGAGCCTATCTGCCGCCAGAGTCCAAAGCTCCTTTAGGCACTGTGAAATAAAGGTGGTAAAGTATGCGAGCCGTCTTCTCAACGGGAATAATAAATAGGGGGATGTGGGGTGCTAAAGTCTTTTTGTTTTTGAACAAACAATGATTCCAAGCCTCTTCAGTCACTGTGATATAAAGCTGGTAAAGTATGTAAGCCTCCCTTCTCAACTGGACTAAATAGGGGCCTGTAGGGGGCTAAGGTTTTTTTGTTTCTCAAGTAAGAGTGTCATTTTGGAAACGCGGCATCTGCAAAAAAAAAAGAACACCCGGTGCACTTAGCCGACCGTGAAAGGCAGCACTGGCAAAAGACAAAAAAAAGGAATGTTGGGAACAGTTACCTCTGGCAGCGCTGCACACCTTGCAACATGTTCTTGGCGGTGCAGGGGCTGAGATACATTCACAGTGTTCCATCAGTCCATATGTTTGCAAAACAAAGGAACATTGGGTAGCAGCACTGCACAACATTCGTCATGGACCTGGTGCTGAAGGGACCCAGATAAAATTGAAATGTTCAATCAGCTGAAATGTTTGCAGTGGACCCAGGCGTTCAATTGCGCAAGACCATTGTACTTGTGATTCACCGTGTCAACGTGAGCACCACGTTGCGGCTCTACGCAATTCACTGTCCGTGAGCAGAAAGCAAGAGGCGTTTTGTTCCTTTTTTTTTCACCTATTTTGCCAAGCTCTTTCTTGGAGGATATTCTCCTTTTTTTTTTTTTTTTTAATGGTCCCGACTCCATATCCATTCTGGGGAGCGTCAGTCCGGTTCCTATTCCCCCGGCAAGTCAAAAGAATACATCGTTTTACTCACACAACGCTTCCTTCTGTCGGCCGAAGGAACCCTGACCAGCATTCATTACTCCTCCTAAGGAGGATTGACTGTCAGCTTGCCCTGATCACTTGTTCCTCTCAGGCTCCTTTCAGAGTCTGTCGGATGAGTCCCTGCAATACGAGAACAGTGGGGGGTTCCGCTCAGTAATCTGTTGCTTGTACTTGTCCTTCATTGAGTGTCCGGTTTGCCTCGTTGTTGACCCCTCTTCCGGGTCTTCTTTGACCTTCTGCCAGGGCGTCCGGCGGGGACCCTTATAGGCTTCATGACTGTGTCTGGTACCATTTCTTCCACCTCAACCTGTTGTCAACTATCGTCGCCACCTTGCCTCTTAGCAGCCAGTTCCTCATGAAGGTCTGTTTCTTGGTTGCTTGTCTTTCTGGTCTGTGTCTTATAGAGTTGACTAGTCTCCGCCATCTGCTTCTGATTTCCATCTCTGCCATGATCAGCAGTAGTGACGACATTTCTTCCTTGGCCACCTCTGTACCCTCGATTGTCCGAGTACACGAACTAACTGAATGTTTCCTTCTAGTGTGTAGCCACTGGTTGACGGGAAGGGCTGCATGTTCTATTAGCCATTGCAGGCTACGGATTCTGATAGGTCTGATGAGAAGGTATTTGGGCCAGGGGATGGTTGTCAGCCTTGGATTTGGGTCCCTGGTTTGTAGTCCGAGGTTATATCCGCACTTTACGTCATATCTATTATCGTCCTCAATTTCCCGGTGGCACCCAGTTCCCATGTCCATTCCTTTGGGTCGAACTCCAGCTCCTCAGTGCTGAGTTGCGGCTGAAAGATGATCCAGGGTTTCCTATGAGAGACCCTAACCTTCCTGAGAAGGTAGGTTTCTATTTGTTTGTTCTGTGGTGTTCTGTTCAGGATCTCTAGTTCGTAAATGTTGTGTTTGATGATGGGGTAGGATATGAACTTGGCCTGGTAGTTAGCCGGGTCTGGTTTGGACACGAAGCGGTAGGCTCTTGTTGGTGGGGTTTGTGTGATGAGCAGTTCCCAGTCTCCTGGTTTCCACGTGTGATTCTTTGAGGAGGGTCGTCCATGGGGGGGAATGCTTTGAAGGATTTCTGATAGGTTGGTGGTCAGTAGGTGGCATCCTTTTAAGGATGTGCGGAGGTCCTGTACGGTTAGCCATTCTTGTCGGTCCTCATACCACAAATGTTTAACCTGCCATACACCTCTCTCCACCCAAGATAACCATCTGCGGTCTTTGGCTCGAAGAGTCCATGGTCTGCCCTCTGTGTCTTTAATCCAGGGATTGCAGAACAGGGGCTGTCTAAAGGACTTCCTATTTGTTGCTCGGGGACCCTCTCTCTAAAAAAAGACATTGGGCGAGCACATTTTTGACATTGCCATCTTTGGAGATTTTTCTTTGTTTTTGGATCCGCCCAAATTCCCTGAAAATATAGAGGCATGTACCTTACATGCTACAGAACTCACCAAAAAAAAAAAAAAAAAAAAAAAAAAAAGGCCCCGAAATGATTTTTGTCAGGGGGAAAACTTTGGGAAGTTCGGCCCCCTCATGTTCGGCCCCCCCGGAACGTTCGGGCGGGTAACCCTGGTCATAGCAACAATGTATGTATTATTTATAGACTGAAACTCACATGATCCTCTATTAATTCAAAAGGTAAGTACATCCATATTGTCCATCCTTCATCCAAATTGCATGAAAATGAAATTTTCAAAATTACAGAGAAGTCCAATTTGCTGAGTAATGCAGACATAAGTGATATTACTCACAAAATGCGATTTCTGAAACTATTGCTCGTTCTTCCGTCCGCCCGTACTTGGAAAATGTTGAAAATCCCCGTGGTTGCTATTGTTGTTCTTCTGTTCAGGTGATGATGGGCATTCCTGCAACGGAGGGGACAAACTTTGCAGCTTCCTTTGGCCATCTTGCTGGAGGATATGACGCATCCTACTATGGGTATATGTGGAGTGAGGTAAGAGGTCTTCTTTGCCCTCGCGACCCGTTCCGTCCTTTTAGGGAATAATTGGACATGGTTCTGATGTGGATTTCCCAATGTCTGTTGCCCTTATGTCGGTGCTTATTGGTGCGTATGACCGTCTTTTCATGTGTTCATTATGTTTGGTTCTTTTGTTTTTTCCTGTGGAGTTTGTGTGTGGTATGTTGATTTTGGACTGTCTGATTTCTGCACTGCTGAGAACTAGGCATAGTTTAACCAGTCCCCCCCGTGGTGTATATAATCATTCACGCATTTGGTCTTGGAGTCTGTGGCGAGTTGATTTGGATGATCTGACATGGACTGTCTGACTTCTGCCCTGCTGAGGACTGGGCATAGTTCAACCAGGCGTTCCCTTGGTGTATGTGTTCACTCGTGCATGTGGCCTTTATGTGCTTTTTCTATTATGTGGGTTTGCTGCTCCCTTTGTAATTTCTCCACTGAAAAATGGGTGTAGAATAATTTGCCGCTGGCCCGGCGGAAACATCCAGGAGGCACGCAGTGTTGGCCCGTCTGGGAGTGTTACGTGTTCGAGACGGAATGCCGATGAAGGCTCAAAAAAACTAAACAGACAAGGCCGGTGAATTTTCACAAAAATTACAAGCGATTAAAAAGTTATCTATTTTTTATGGTAAGCTGATGCTGTTGCCACTTCGTGGCCTGGTTTCCTCAATGTCCTGGCACATACCATTTTCGACGTCGCTGCACTAGGGAAGACATTGTGCAGATGCGTGCATAGACCCCTTCCCGATTACTGATGAGATTGTCAGTGATTTCCTATTACTTACTACCTGAAGCTCATGTAGAAGCACCCACCGCTGGATCTGCGTGATTACTTTCATAGACAAATTCTCATTAGCTATCCCTACACTTATAAAAGTTCCTAATGTGAGAATTTTGGGATCCGGGCCGTCCGCGGACCTACCGGCCCGACGGCCCGGATTGCCCCGCGATGTTAAGATTTTAAGATCGCATGGCGATCCAGGCCGTTCATGGTCCTATCGGCTGAACGACCCGGTACCACTTGGCCAACGGCCGAGATTAGGATTTTGCAGCCCAACTGAAGTTACGGCTGCCAGGCGTGGGAAGAAACCAGTTCCCGGCGGGACGGTCTCCTCTTGGGCTCAGCGGTCCAGCCCCCCGCATATCTTTGGCGGCGCACAGCACGCGCTCACACGAACGCCCGCCCGTCCACTCGAACAAGCACATGCACGCACACACGCACAAGCACGCACACACGCATGCATGCAAATGCATCATGGGCAGACTGTCGGGGTTCAACCTCCTGATGAGTTGGTGAAAGTCCAACGAAACAGTCTGGCACAGTCATGCTTTTTTTGTGGGGTTCACACGAACTGTGTGGGTAGGTGCGCGCGCGCGCGCGCGCGCGAGAGAGAGAGAGAGAGAGAGAGAGAGAGAGAGAGAGAGAGAGAGAGAGAGAGAGACCATGACGACGCTGACTGATGCAAACGAGGTTGAAGACGCCGATGGAGATGAAAGATAAGGAGTAAGGAGCACTATTTGCAAGGACAAGGTGAGATGATAATGGCATGGGGAAAGGGGGCCAGGCTATGGTGGTTTTGTTTTTCTTTCCTGCTCACTCTGATTGGGAAAGGGAGAAGAAGCGACATGAAGGGGAGGACGAGGCTATGGTGGTTTTGTTTTTCTTTCCTATTCACTCGGATCGCGAAAGGGAGATGAAGCGACGTGAAGGGGAGGACGAGGAAGAGGAAGAGGAACATTAGGAGGAGGAAGAGGAAGGCGAAATCCTAAGAGGGAGGGAGGGTAGGGAAGCAGAAAGAGATGGAGCTGGAGGAGGAGAAGGGGGAGGAGGAGGACAAAGGGGAAGTATGAGAAGAGGGGAAAGTACAGAGGAGGGAAAAGAGGGGGAAGAGGAAAAGTTAGGGCGAAAGTGGAAGGGGTGCGGGGGGGAAGCTAGGCGTAAGTCGCCGAAAGGGGGTTGCAGGTTTAAGGCGCCAAATCACACACGCTGCGCGAGATCGTGCTTTCATTTTTCTTTTCGTTTTATTGTGCATGTGTGTGTGTGTGTGTGTGTGTGTGTGTGTGTG